ATGGAACAATATAAAACAGCCCTATTAAATAAGATTTCACTTTGTTTTTGCATTTTTTTGTTACAAATTCGTAAATTTATTCGTCTGTTTATTTTAGTTATACTTTTGTTATATGTACATACTTTAGTACATACTTACAAACATACCGATAAATAAGGATTTGAGTACTTTTATTATTTTTGCAATTTTCTTTTTACCGTTCTACAAAATTCATATCTTCAATATTTCAAACTGGGATAATCAATGTTATTCAAATCGTTCCGTTCTATGTCTGTTTAGTAACGATCCCCTACATTTTACAATTTTTCTTACTACTTTAATGTTGTATAATGTTAGAATTCATCCTGAAAGGCCTCTCAGTTCGCTGCAAAAAAAAAATGAAGGTTAATTTTTGAGCCATCAGTGGAAATGGTATTTTCCTCTTAAGTTTGTTTATTGTTTGACTAAGCCACACTTCTTTTGAATGCGATTTTTAACCCGTTTAATACATAGTGTACGAACAAATTTTTGAAAACAATTTCTTTAATTCTAAGATACGGTTGAAGCGATTTTAACAGTAACAGATATTAAAAGTTAAAACTTATTAATTATCCTCACCTTTAAATTGCATGTTAAACAGGGAAACAGAGATATTTATTGCATAATTAAATTCAATTGCTAATAAATTTTAAACTAAAAATTCAATTATGCATTTAAGTGCAAAACTGTGTTTAATTACCTTTAAGTAATTGGATTTCGTATAAAAATTTAGTTGAACTATAGTAATAAAATAAATATGTAAGTGTGTGCATGGTCGGATTTCATGTTAAATAAATAAAAAATTCCTTGAATTTTATTTGAAGTATTGCACTCAAAAATTATTGAATAATAGTTTGTATATAATATAAAAGAAATTTTGCGATTCAATAAGTAAATTGTACACACAATATATATTTTTGTAAAGAAAATTAAACATATTTAAATGTTCAGCAAACAATGCGAGTGCAAATAAATATATTTAAATGTATGTGCTTCTGTTTAAATTATTATTCTTCTTCTAAATCTTTGATAATATACTTCATTAAGCAAAACACGTGTCATTATTATAACGGTTATATTTTTTTATTTAATATTATATGCTTAAACACAAATACACACTCTATTTTGAAGAAAATCATCATTCATCGACTAATAGCCAACATAAAAACTCCCCCGAGTTGATAAAGCAAAAAATTCTCATTTTATATGCTTTAATCAATATAAAACATAAATCGTTGTAGAATATGCTCGGGTACACCTCTAATAAAATTTATATTTATAATATACTTGCGGGTCCAAGTATATGCAATATGTATGTATGTAGGAATATTATTGTGTACCTCATATTATATTTGTATACCATGATACAAAACATACTTTATTTTAAGAATTCAGAAAATTTTTTTTAAATATATGTGTTTATGAGTTTGGCTTTACTTTGACTTATGCAGAACGTTGATGGTTGCGGTAATAAAAATTTTGAAAAGTTATGCTTTCTTATGTTAATTGTATTGAAATTTCGTAATGTATGCACCGAGTAATGTGCTTATTCAGAATTCGTAATTTAAAAACTGAGAAAGCTGGCAAAATCACTAACGTTTCATTAAATTGAATACCAGAACTTTTGTCTAACTTACAGTAATAAAAATTTTTATGATCATGTTAATATACTTACATGATCATAAAAATTTTTTGAGAATTAAATAGTTCAAGTACTCAACGATCGGATAAAAAAAGGCCTTTAGATTTTAGAAGAGACGTAAGTGTTTCGCAAGCGTTAAAAAAATGATTTAGATAAGCTATTCTGAGGGAATTTCAAACAAATTTTAAGCCACGATAGTGTAAAAAATCATGTTTTTGCAATGCTTTCGACCAAACGACAAATTGCCGCAAACTTCTAAAGGGATGTAGTGGTCTATTTATAACTGAAATATGCATGTATATATATATATATATGTATGTATGTACGTATTTTCTTTTTGTAATTTCATAAATATATGTTATCAATTATGTTAGAATTGAAGAATTCGAATGTTTAATTTTAGATAACTCTTTATGCTTGTAGAGTCTTAAAATGTATATATATACTAACCTATGTATATATACTAACGTTTGTATACTGTAAATTAAATTAGATGTAAGTATGTTTTTATCTTTCTCATTGTATTACAAATATTAATGGCGGAGTATTGAAGTATAATAGCTTGTGACAAATTTTTATAGCACATGAAGGATTCAAAATCGCTTTTATAATCGGCAATTAAAATTTTTAAAACGTTTTACAACGCTGAATGAAATACATTACATTGCATTTACTTCCGGTCTTTTATTTTTTCAATATACGAAATTTTTACATAATTTGCGTTCCATTTCTGTGTTCAAACTACTCATGAGAAGCCAAAACTATCTCAACTACACTATCCCGCACAAATTCGTAGATGAATTTTGCAGTTGCGTTATTTTTTCCGGTAGATAGGAATAGTTTGATTTATAAAAAAAAATTGTTATACCAAAAAAGTTAAGGTTATGTTTTATTACATACCGAAAGAGACCGTTCTATTTACAACCTTTTAAAAGCACGGCATGAGAAACTGTTATATGTATAGCTTTATCCAGCTGCTTACATCATAAACCTTAAATAAAAATATGAATTTTTTTATTTCCAAAATTAAATAGCATTCACTTATACTTCTTCTTAAATACTGTTAAAATCAAAGAATAATGATTTGTAAAATCATTGATATGCGGGTAAAAATGAAAATCTCTTTACTTCATTTCTATTCAATTAAAGAAGTTATTCAAAAGAAAACAAACTTCCTAAGCACAAATAAAATTAGAAAATGATGATTAAAACAGTAAAAGAAAAAAAAATAATAATAAGGACATACCATATCCTTACACTTTTAATAAAGTGGGAAAAATATAACAGTAAGGGAAATAAATTATAACACAAAAAAGTTTTTTTGATGTTTTTTTTCCCTCCATGATTTTTTCTCTTTTAATTCGAAATTTATGTGCTACCCATATGTATGTGCATCTTCACCCATAACAAAACGCTGATATAATAGCATAATGTATGTTTGCATGTATGTAACCTTTGTTACATACATGTGAGTATGTGCATTTCACTTTTATATTTTTATTGTTTCTTTGTAGAAAAGGAACCAACCATATAACATACAAAATAATAAATGGTAAAGAATGTAAATTTAAATGTCCTGGTCATGATTTTTTTATTTTTCAAAACAAAAAAAGAAAAAAGAAAATTATTTTATTATGATTTTTTTTTCGTAATTCTATTCTATAGTGTCGAGTATGTTTGTATGTATGTATACATGTGACTTTTTATATATGTATTCGAATTTTAATTTACATTTTATCCTTTTAAAGAAGTGTGTTTCGTCTCTTCCATTTTTTTATTATACTTATTTTTGAAAATTTATTTTTTGTTCACATAAAAGTAACAAATGTTATAAAAAATAAATAAACAACTTATACCTATGTATATGCATGTATATATGTACATACATATGTACTTTCCATTGCAAGGAAAAATATATGTCTACTAGAGTACGGTGGCAATATTTTGTAAAAAAAAATATTTATGTCATGTCATTGCCGACGTGCAATAATCATGTAGTCGTCTCTATATTAACATGACGTTGACATAATACTTGTGTGTATTAAGTCTTAAGCATTAACTCCATGACATGAAATAAAAATTATAAGGCATTGGCATTATTTTATATACATACCTGTGTATGTAAATAATATATTTTTTTTATTTTTTAACAAATTTTTGCTAATTTTTTTTTCATATTAAAATCAATTATTGCACCATTTGTATAACAATGTTTATGCAAGATTTAAAAATTAATTTCGTTTTATTAAAATTATGATTTAATTAGAATAATTAGGTACAGAAGACAACTATAGTAATTAAACAACGAACTACTTTCTTGGGGGAGCTTGTGATCAACAAGTTTTTTAATTTGAAATAGCGCCACTCAAAAAAAGTAGTTGGCTTGTGTACTTAATTAATTACAAAAATTGTTTTCTGTATATCACTAAAAGCAGTACACACAATGATATGAGCAAATAATATTTTTATTTGTACATATTAATTGACATAAAAGTTGTGTTTTAAAAAAGTACCAGAATTTTATGTTGAAAATTTGATTGAAATGTCACAGTGTTTCTTGACATTCTAATGTCAAATCACAAAAAAGTAATATTCTAAAGAGAACGTAATATACACAATTCTTGGTTAGTATTGTGTTTTAAAATTTATTATAATTATTCAATCTCGCTGTATATTGCATTATATACATTCATCCATATTTCATTGACTTAATATTTTAATGTGATATTGGATACCATTAAAATCTTGTCTTAAAAATAATTGTCTAAATTATTTTGTAAAAGCTTAACAAAGTTTGAAATTAAAGTTTATACTATAATAAAAACAAGTCAAAATATGTATGTACTTTTAAAATAAGTGTATAAATTATAGATATAAATACTAAAAGACAAGATAAAATTAAAAACGAGAAAAAAATATGCGATATGACTTGAAAAGTGTTTGTAATTCGCATGTATTATAATTTCAATGTATATATAGTGATACAAAATACATACAAACCTTCAAAATAAAATATGTATACACAAAAATAATGTTTGTTGTAAGTGTAATTACTTTTCACTAATACAGAATCATTTATATAATAATATTCGAAATAAGAGTGAAGACAAAAGATAAGAAAAATAAATTTGAAAGATAAGCAATAGGAACAAAAATAAAAGCGTGTGTTTTTGCTACGATAATGTTAAGTATGTATACATATGTATATATGTATGTACATAAATTTTTGTATAATAATAATAATACGTTGTAAAATGAGAGCAAAAAAAATTTCTTCTCTACTGTCTATACTTTACATAAGAATAGTTAGCTAGCTGCTAGTCAGTTCAATATAAGATTTCGTTTTAAATGAAAAAATCGGACTGTAACAATTTAATTTACGTTTGCTTTATGTGTTGTTGCTAATTTTCATAATCCATACAGACAAACAAATAATATAGGTTAGTTCAATTAAATTTAAATGATATCAATAATGGAAGTAGAGCAATTAATCAAAGCAATTTGTGCAAGACCACCGTTATGGGATCGTACATCAAAAGAGTATCATAATAGAGTTTTAACTGAAAAATGTTGGGATGAAATATGTGATGAAGTAAATGAGCCTAGTAAGTACACACATACATGTATAATTTAATTAAATTTTGGTAAATGAAACTATTAAAAAAAGGTTAAAGCAGAAAAAAGAAATGGGAATCTATACCTGTTTTAACAAAATTTTAATTTATTCGCACAAATTTAAGTAACTAGATGTTCATTATATTTTTTTAAATAATAATTTAAATATTTATTATAAATTTATTTTAATAAAATATATTAAAATATTTTAATATAAATTTAATAATAAATTAAAATATTTTATTTTATTTTGCAAAATTACAGAAGATAAAATTAAAAGAAAATGGAAAGGATTGAGAGACACATATAGATTTGAACTGAGAAAATTTTTATCACTGAACTCTGAACATTCAGTTGATAACAACAGCAAAGCACAATTTGAATATGAGCCGTCTTGGCCATTTTTTAAAACCTTAAATTTTTTAAAAGATCATGTTAATATACGAAGTGATTTGAATAAAGTCGGTAAAAAATCTGCTATAACATTAAGTAAAAATTCACAATCAAATTTTCATTCATTTAATGATGATTGGAATTCTTTGCAGAATTTCAATCAAACTGAAATATTTGATAGTAGTAATAATGATTTAGACTCCAATATATCAAACAACACAATGCAATTTACAAGAGAATTAGCTGAAAATGATATTTATAATGAAATTGATGGAGATATTAAACCGGTTATTGTTAACTCTCATGAAGAAGACGACCATTCAAATATTGGGACAAATATACAAACTAATGTCAATAACAAAGTAAAAGATATATCAAATCATAAAAACAAAGACAGTAATGATAATTATCATAACTATAAAAATTCAAATGAGAAGAAATTAGGTAATAAAAAGAGAAAATGGTATGAAATTGGAGAGAAAATTATCGACTTAGAATACGAAAAAATTAATTTTCTTAAAGAACAAAAATATAATGAGCATTCAAAGAATATCCACGAAAGAACAATAATTAGAGAGTGCGACAATGATGATGAGGACAAATGCTTTTTTAATAGTCTTTTACCACATATTAAAAAATTACAACCAGCTAAAAAGTTAAAATGCCGAATGGATATACAAAAATTGATTTATGATTATTGTTATCAGAATGTAGAATAATCAGAAAATAAAGCCCAAATTAATTTTCATAAATTATTAAATTTTCTTTAGTAGTAAATATCAAATATTTTTAAACTTCATCAAAGAACATTTAATGTAATTTATTTCTTACGCTTTTCAGGTTTTTTAATTCATATATTTTCGCTCAGAATCACATTCCTAAGAAATCTGACAATGTCTGCTTCTCTATGGTGCAATGGTTTTTTGGCTGTAAATTGTTGAAACGCTAATTTGAGAACGAAAAGAACTAGAAACTTCATAGGGCTACTGCTTGTATTTAATATATGCAAACTGGTTTTGCTAATAAGAAGAAAGATCTCCTTACGGGACCGACCGGTAGCTCTTATATAAAAGGCTTTTGCGATATAACTTAAGATCTTCCAATATCATCATATAGAGAACGCACGATGTAAAAGGATTTGATTGAGGTAACAAGGTGTTATTTCAATGCTTTTTTTAATAAACTTAAACTTGCGTTATAGCAATTGTTGAAAGCAATATTATATTTTATGTTTTACCATACTCAACGTCGCACCAAATTCAACGTACTTCACAGTGTATAAAATTCAAAAAAAATTTGATTTGTTCGTCAATTCCCTTCCATTAAAAAAAAATTCCATTTCATTTATTATTGTTGCTTGGCTGAAAATCCTATGTTATATTTTATTATGTTTGTTAAATATAGGATTATAAAATAATGTGATATGACTATAACTAATGAATTTTTGTTATAATCATTAAATCTATATAATGCATACGAAAATCAGAAAAAGGTACCTACTCGTACTGAAAAGTAAGTGAGTTGAGCCCCATAATCTTCTAATAAAACATTATTCTATTTATGAAATGCATAATATTATAAATAAGTAGATCAGGTACTGAAAACATTTTCAATCTTTAAAAATTCTTTTAACTTCTTTAAAGCCTATAAAAATATAGATAACATTGTACATATGTATATAGATATGCACAATGATATTGTTAACATGTAAATGTGTATTATTTGTTTTTGTTCCCTTCATTAACTTTGAAATATTATGTGAATGATCTGATGGGTTCTTCATATTATATTTTTTTTTTGAATCAAAAAGAAATTTATAAAAAAAATTTCCCTTCTCTTCTTCTTTCAGTTGTTTCGTTTTGAATTAATATTTTTTGAATGTTGAAATTACTGGGGTATGGTGCTGTCTGTATTCTTTGCTACTAACCAAACTAAAATATTAGGTTTTTTTTCGACAATTCGTTATTGTATAAGGAATGTGTAATTGGCTTTGATTTTTCAATACTTATGCAATTGCATTTTGGATTTTATTTTGAAAATTTCTTTAATTCATGTGCATTTTTATGTGAGAACTGCTTTTTAATTTTTAAAATATTTATTTTATGATGACCTGCTGAGTTTTACAGATGAATTTTGAAAAATAATACAGTAGATTGACCTTTTTTTGTAGTTATGATATTTCATCTTTAAACAGAATCAGATATAAAGACATATTTGTGAATAGCCATAAAAGGGAATTGGTGGGGAGATAAATGAAAGGAATTTGTTAAACTAATATATGTATGTATAAATGAATATGTACATGTTGTACGTAGGTGTATGTGTATATGTGAAAGTGGTTTAGTTTTAGTAGTGGCACTTTTTTTGATTTTCGAATTAAATATTTCTTATTTTTAATAAATCTATGATTGACTTAACGCACATTTCATTGATTTTTTTGAATCTGTTTCAATCACAACTTTTTTGCGACGATGAGTACCTAAATTTGTGCAATTACACTTTCCTATTACATTTCACTTAGATTTCCTTCTGATTTGTTTTATTATTTTTTAATATTACTTAAGTAAATTTTATATAAATTCTAAATATTTTCCGAATTATAGCTCAAATGCTTTTAATAATTACAGTAGTTAAGCAAATAAAATTGAAAATTTAGAATTAGCTCACTTATAAGTACATACATACATACATATATAAATATGAATTTTTAGGTGCACAGTACACTTGTCTAATAGAACCTTAAATACTACAAAACACTCTCCGTTCTCGTAGACATACATATTTGATGTTTTAAACTAATCAATAACAAAGTTTTTTTAATTTTTCATTTCAGTATATTATTGTTTTTATATTTTCCAAATTTTTAGATTCATTTACGAGTACTAGGGTTCAACGCACGAAATCGAAACCTTTTTATCATTGTTATTGTTATATCACAACACAGCAATTTGAAAATTTGATCGCCCACTAAACTATAAATCCTTTTTTCTTTCAATAAATAATAATTATTATACATACATACTAACATATTTCTTTGAATGCATAAAAAAAGAGCCCTAACAAAAATATTAGTTTCCAATAAACATTCACATTGGCTCAATAGAAAAAACAAAACTTTACAAGAATTTTCGGTTCATTCAGCTATTTGGTTTTGTTTTCTGTTTCTCTCCTTTTATTTCTCTCATTCGACATTACATTTGAGATAAGGTAGGATAATTTAGAAAAAGAAGAAAAAAAACTTAAATTTAACATAATAATAATTCTAGTGCGACCGAGACGCCTTTTTACCTTTTGAATTTACATGACATCATTCATATACGAGTAGACGTCTCTTCTTCATGTCGATTATACACCGCTGGCTTTGCCGACCCGACGATGATGAGTAAAGTCGCCGTTTTTTTGTTTTTCTTTGTTTTATTTACATATCAATACTTCTATGTCGTCTCCACATCCGAATTTAAAATCATTCTTCACAACATCATACCACGATTAACTATTATGTAGTCATTCTATTGCTGAACTGTTTTCCTTTTTTTCGTTTTTCTTCTGCTGTTAATCATTTTTTTTAAAAGTACAAAATTACTAAAAGAACAACAAAACACAATTTATAAAAAAAAGGAAGAAAAAAAATGAAAAAATAAACCAAACACAAAAAAGAAAGAAAAAAAATTTAATTCACAATATGGGATGGTAAAACCAGGTGTTAACAAAACAGTTATGAATTCAGGTTAATAGCCTTTTCGTTTTCAAAGTTTTGCATCAAGGTTACAAAATATAATTTTCTGAATATTAAGATTTTTTTTTTTGCTTTTATGATGGAATGGCCTTTCTCTTGATTTGCACTCTTTTCGTTTTTAAAATAAAATTCCATTTTGAATTTGACAAATTTATATAAAAGACCGTATAGTTCGACTTCTACAATTTTGAAATTATGAGAGAGTAACAGTGAAGTATGTATAAGTAATTTTAATAACTTCAGTTCCAGCACTACAAAATAAATAGATTACAAAACAATCTTAAAAAAAATAAAAAGTTTTTAACATATTTTAAATTTTTCACTGATTTACTAACACTTTAATCAACTTTCCTTCATTATGCATATTGTAAAATAAAGCTGCGTTTTATTTATCACGTCTCTTTAAAAAAAAATGATTTAATCATATGTTTAGTGGCACGTAATTTTATTTGAGTTATCAAATATTAATGAAAAATCGAAAAAAATAAAACACAATTGTCTATTGAGTAAATAAATGTTGCTTGTAAAGTTACATTGGTATAACAGAAATAATTTACTAATAATCAAATTTTAAATAAGTATAAATACAAATACGATAAAGAAAAAGACACCGTAATTTTCCTTGTATCCTCTTTTGTGTGCAATTTTCGATATCCTTTTTCTTTGGATTCAGTATAGGTGTATATGAAGCGTTATATACTTTTAAAGTTTGGTTGAGTTTAACAATTGATTAGTTTTATGTGTTTTCTTTTTCTACTTTTACCTGCCGTAAAAATATGTTCAATAAAAGGTCACAAACTTTTTAAAATTTTGGATCTGTTCATGAGCACTTTTGTTTATATTTAATATAGTTACATATTTTTTTCGCTATTTCTTTGAATAACAATTTTATCTTTTTAACTATTCTTCACTTGATTAATTGCAAGAAATTTTTCTATATAGTTACATTTATTGTCTTTATATCTTATGTTTATGATTAAGTACATATTTTTAAAGCAAATTAAAAATACAGCAAATCATGAAACTGTTCTACATCATACTCGTATAATGAAACAAAAGAAAATTACTGAAGGATTAGCAGAAAATTAGGTCACTTAGAGAGAGACGACCATGAACTATGATAAAGTTTTATTAGCTAAAATTAAAAAAAATATAAAATTTAATGTTATACTTTCTACAATTAACATAAACTTTAACAGTTGACAGAAAAAGTAACTATATTTTTTAATGCATTTATTGATTAACGTTAATTTAATGTTGAACTATCTCCGCTTTGAAATTTTGACATGAAAAACTTTCAAAGTAGTTTTTGAACAAAAAAATGTTTAGTAAAAAAATTCATCCAACAAAAATTTTCGACGTTGTAACGAACGTTTGTGACTGAAATTAATCGAGTTATATTAACCAATATTAAATACGAAAAAATTGTGCATTTAGCTAAAGTGTTCATGTGTTCCTGGAATTTTCTTAATTTTTTCAATGTTATGTTCAATATTTTGCTTATTCCATTTTTTAATTGTCCCGTGGCCTTCTCTCGAGACAATGAATTTGGACGAATTACAGAAAATATGAATCCAAACAAATCGCTAACTTCTAAATAAATTGTTAGTTAACCAATGTTATGAAGTTATTTCGAAAAATTACTGATGTAAGGCCCTAAAAATTTTGATGTTAAGTACTAAAAAAGCCAGACAAAAGACAGACGAAAAAAAAAAACAAAAAAAGTAAATAAAGTAATGAAACAAAATCTTATTTGTTTCTTAAAAATCTTTCCAAGGATATCTAAGAACATTCACATTTTTATATAATAAAAAGGACAATATACTTATGTACAATATTCAAGAATGTATTCAATATTTTACTTTTGAAATGTATATTAAAATTATCCCTATAAAATTCTTCTCACGTATATAAATTTTAACTTTTCGAACATAATAGAGGCAAAAATAAATAAAATTGAGATATCCATGAAAAGTTGTTCCA